CGGGAAGAAAGGGGGGGTGGGAGCCACCCCCCCCGCCGCAGGCAAGCGTTACCAGCCGCCGCCACGTTACCCCCCAAGCGCATTATTTGCAGGTCCCCCAAAGGTTCTGACGGCCTTTTCCCCTCTTTTGGTGAGGGCGACGGTGCGGGGAGGGGGCTGCTGGGGGCAATGCTGCTTCCCTTCACACCCTGGCAAGCGTTCGACCACAATTTTATAGGCAATGACAGTAATTCCTCTTTTTTTTTTTTTTTTTAAAAAAAAAAGAAGTTATCACAGCCATGTGCACAAATAATTTAAAAAACAGTTAACCAATTGAGCTGGTAACTTTAGTTAAGGAGTGTTTACAGGCTAAGTGGTCCATTGAATGTGTGTGTGTGTATATATATATATACACATATATATATATATAACTACAGCACCATACTGCTGATGGTGGCCAACACCATACCCCATAATGTGGAGCAGGTGAACAAGAATGGCACCGCAGGTATTTTCTTTTCTTTAAATTCTCCCATTTTCAGAGTCATTACCTACTAAACCAGGGTCTTTTAGAGCATCCCTCACTTTTTTAAAGCTTCCCCCCAGCAGCGTAGCTGCTAACCCCCCCCCCCCCAGCAACCCGGCATCCAACGCTTCCTATTAAAGTTTCTGGGTGACGTTTCCACATGGGTGAAAGAGAAGGGCCCTTCTCAGGCTCCAACCAGGGGGGTGAGGGGTGCCCTGTCCAGGCAACAGCCCCACGATAAGGATACCCCCCACACCCCCCGTCAGGCTGAGCAAAGCCTCCGCAGCCAGGACCGGGTTGGTTTCCATCCCGGGCGCTGGGACAAGGCGTGGGGTGCTGGGTGTTTATCTGGGGTCGGGCGATCACGGCTGCACAGCTGGTTTAACCCTTGTCCCCTGTCCTGCTGCCAGCCCGGCGAGAGCTGATAGCTCACCCACCGTTTATCTCTCCCTCCCACCTCCCAGCCCTCTCCTTCCCTCCTCCCATTGCCAGGTCAATTCTCCTTCCACCTCCCCCTTCTGCTTCTTTTCTTTCTTCCGTTAAAACGTCCTTCATGGCCACGCGGCCTTTGCCACCAGGAAAGGGAAGAGTATCCTCAAGGCGAAGGTTTCAAACCACTCCCTGCACATATATATTTAATATATAGCCCTGTGGTCTATAGAAAGGGATGGGAGGATGCCGATGCCACCTGCTCTGTGGTGGGATGGCCAATGTGCATCACTCCTGAGGGACCCTGGTGATGGAGAGACCCTGGGAGCTGCCGTGCTGTGACAGGCTCTGGCGACGTGTCCCCAGGTGGGTGGCTGGTGGCCCCATATCGTCTGTGCGTCCTCCTTCCAGCACCTTCCTCTCTGGAGCATCTCGACTTCACTGCTGCTCAGCCACCAACATGCACATGTCCCAGAAGATAGCAGACATCTTCTGCCTTTTTATTTTTTTTCCTTGTTTAAAGTAATTTTTGAAAGTCTTTCCCACTCTTATCTTCCAATGGAAAATTTCATTCATTTCCCATCAAATGCTAATATTTTTTTTTTACAATCTGTTGCATTGCAAGTGGTGATGAGCACTGCTCTGTGGATTCAAATATATGTGGGCGGGGGAAACCCCAACCCAAGCTATTTTCTTCTCCGTTTATACAAAACAGAGGAGAAAGTTGGGGGAAGCACTTTAGGGTCCTGGTTTCACCACACAGAAGTGATCGGCACGGGGGGAGTCTGACAGCCTGTGTGTCGTGTAGCGATGCCCTCGGCTGGGACGGGGTTTACGGTTCATCTCTCATCCCTTTCAGCATCACTGGTGGCATCACAAGGTGATGGGGGTTTTGTTCTGTCTCCTACTGTGGGAAATTTTCTGGCAAATAAGTTTTCCTTACAAATTTGAAGTGGGTGCATTTAAAGGGATTTTTCTTCACCTGTGTTTCTAATGTGTTCCAGGAACCAGGTGACATTCGGGCTCCTGGTGGCAGAAAAATCTCCCTTAACGTTGCACGGGTGATACGGGGGAGTGAGAACGGAGGGGAAGTGGCATTGAGATAGAACTGAATTAAATAAAAAAAAAAAAAAAGAAGGTGAGAGGGATGTGTAAGTCTGAGAAAATAAAACAAGAAACGCAAAAAAACCAAAATCACCCCAAATTTGGGCAGCTTTTATTTTCAAGCCTCGTTATCTGGTTTTAATTACTGCCTTCCTGGCAAAGCCGTGGTCAGGGCAGCTTGCACTGGCACCCCTGCCTGGGAACGCCACCAAAGCCAAGAGCAAGGACCTGCTTCGTTAAGGGCATTCCCACATTATTGAATTAAATATGCTCATAGAAACGACAGGACCCAA